ATTACGTGCCCAAGAAGCCTGTTACATGATCCAATAGCAGCTGTTACATGCTCAAGAAGCTTGTTACGTGTTCCAGTAGCAGCTGTTACGTGCTCAAGAAGCTTGTTACGTATTCCAGTAGCAGCTGTTACATGCTCAAGAAGCTTGTTACGTGTTCCAGTAGCAGCTGTTACATGCTCAAGAAGCGTGTTACGTGTTCCAGTAGCAGTTGTTACGTGCTCAAGAAGCTTGTTACATGTTCAAGTAGCAGCTGTTACATGCTCAAGAAGCTTGTTACGTGTTCCAGTAGCAGCTGTTACATGCTTCAGGGGGTAATTATGTGCTCCAGTTATAGCCATAATTCCTCTGCCACATTGGCAAGTAACGTTGAAGTGGCTCTGCAATGATACAGAAGAAACAATTAATCTCCAGATTTAACCGTGTAATTCAATCAATTAGAACTAAAGTGTCTGAACAAAACTAATGTGATAATGTCCGCATTTTATCTACTTATCATGGTAATTATAGTTTGAACTCAGGCGGAAAACCACGAATAAATTTACCTAATTATAATAAAAGAATAACTGCTGCTATTGCTGATACTACTGCTCCTGCTGCTGCTGTTACCGCGTGCTTAATCCCCTCATCATCCTGCTCCTGCTGCTGCTGCTACTGCTGCTGCTGCTATTGCTGATACTACTGCTACTGCTGCTGCTCCTGCTGCTGCTGCTGCTGCTGCTGCTGCTACTCCTGCTGCTGCTGCTGCTGCTGCTGCTGTTACCGCGTGCTTAATCTCCTCCTCATCCTGCTCCTCCTCTTTCTGCTGCTGCTGCTCCTCTTGCTACTACTACTGCTACTGTTGCTGCTGCTGCTGCTGCTGTTGCCGCTGCTGCTGCTGTTGCCGCTGCTGTTGCTGCTGTTGCTGTTGCTGTTGTTGTTGTTGCTGCTGCTGTTGCTGCTGCTGCTGCTATTGCTGTTGTTGTTGCTGCTGTTACTGCTGCTGTTGCAGTTGTTGTTGTTGTTGCTGCTGCTGCTGCTGCTGCTGCTGCTGCTGCTGCTGCTGCTGCTTTATTCGACGTACCTACGTTAAGCAGCGTTAACTATGACGGGAGGTAGCCGCTGGTGATGATGTAACTATTTTCTATCGTACCCGTCTCCCCCTCTCGCAGTCTCTCTTGCTATGTCTCCCTCACTGTAACTGTTCCTCTTGCTCACTTTTCACGCTCTCACACAGGCTCACTCGTACGTTGTCTCTCTCGCTGGCTCTCCCAAGCATTACACACATTCTCTCTACTCTCTTTCTTCCTCTTTCTCTCTCGCTCTCTGTCTCTCTCACTCAGACGTGCGAATTTAATTGCACGAGACGACCAGCGCGCCTCCTCCGGCCCCTGGTCCCTCACACCTTGAACGATCCAGCACGCGCCATCCTTATTAATTTATAAAATGGCCACGGATGGCTGAAAAGTACATTTCTTGCTAATCAAATTAGTTTGAAATTAATTATCAACAAACATAACACCATCAGAGCATTAGCCCGAGCGAGATTCAATTAAATGAGATTTAATGAAATTTCTCGGGTAACGGGTCGGCTTGCAGTAGTGATGGTTACGGAAGGCTGAGCAGATGATGGCGGCGGCGGCCAGAGACTAGTACAACACTGCCAGAAACGAAGCCAGCAGCAGCGGCAGCAGCAGCAGCAATAGCAGCAATAAATAACATGTATGCATCTTTTTCATACATTGATTGAGCACTAGATAAATACAGCACTAACTTGTCATTTGCAGGGTCCCAAATTAGGATTGTGTAAGGTAAACTCTAGTTGTAGAACTATAGGCTGAGAGCATGGTTCCATTGAGAACTATGTAGCGTAACGGGAGCGTAACACATCGGCTTTGCTCTCACAACCATGCTCTCTATCTTTGAGCCCTTCGCTCCGCCGTGACAACCGTGGTGGAGTGAAAGGGGAAGGGCTATAGTATATACCGGTAGTTCTACTGAGCTATGTAAACTTAGCCTAGCTGTATGTGTAAGCATAAACTGTAAAGTAGAGGCTACAGAAGAAAAGTAACGACAAACTCTAGACATAAGCAATTCATAAGTTCGTAGTACTAGTAATAATAACAAACAGCTTACCAACTATTAAGTACGATAACGTTCTGAACGTAGACTCTACGGTCGTGACCAATGTAGGGTTACCAGTAACGCGAGTCTGGTATTTCTGCCACAGTTCGTTGAGGAACGAGTCTACATACGACGAACGCAGTTTATCAGTCATGTTTATTTTGCTGAGATCCGTTACATTTGAAATCTGTTAACAATATCACCACATTCTAATATCAGAGAACAATATACTAGCCGGTCACAAATCGCTTGGATGTTGACATGCGTTGGCCAAGTGAACAGCACTACCGGTTTACGAAGGTCAGGGGTCAGGGGGAAGGTTACAGGATGTGACGTGAAAATGCTATATATAGTACCAGGAGCGTATAATGACAAATACGCTCCTGATAGTACCAAGATAGTACGCACGCATGCACGCCACTGATCTCTACTATATACTAACGTTAGTATGGTAGAGATCAGTGATGCACGCACGTACACCCGCCTCGAAGACGTTCTTGCATGGTTGGGTTATCATGCATCGTTCCTTTATCTCCTTCACTCTACACTCACATGTCACAGTTGGCTAATCGCTAGTGCTGGACTGCTGGGGTTAGCTGCGGGGCATTATATCGCATTTCAGTACTGCATAGTGACAACGAAACAGTAGGTCCAAAAGAGGCACCTTGTCCAAGGACACGGAACAATCATAGCAGGACTAGCTGAGAGTAATATATAGTATAGTATAGTATAGTATAGTATAACCCGACCAGGCTGTGTGACAAACGTCAATACACACGTCAATTCACGCCAATTCACGTCAATACAACTTTAATTCACAGGGTATTCTAACCCTAGCAATACGTACCGTTTCTTGGAGCTAAGTATAGTATAGTATATATAGTATAGTATATAGGTAGTTCTGACGAATTCAGTGAGTGGAATCAACTAGTACAGCTAGCCCACTACAGCTCTAACAACCGATATATAGTGCGTAAATCAGCTTCTTTCACACTGACCCACGGAAGGTCGGCAACCGTGACATTCCAACACCCCGAGTTGCTGGCACACAACCACCCCGAGTTGCCAAGATGTCGGTGCTGCGCGTCTTCCAACACGTACGTATTTACTCTTGTCTGTTACGCGTTACTTTGGTTTATACTACGATTGCAAATATTGCTAATCGGCTGTGCAAGAAAGGTATAAAGTCTCGCTCGCGCGGTTGTTGATATTGAATGCCTGTATCTTTACATGTGTGACCCGTGATAGCCAAATGAGTCGGAAGTCGCACAGTAGCATTCTACTGTACAATCGATTTTAAAAAAATAATTTTTTTCCAATAAATTATCTACAATGTTTACTTTTAATTTGTATAAGCAAAAATGTCTTAATTTAATTAAAACTTGCTTAAATTGAATGATTTATAAAAAGTGTCGGCTAATAATATCAGTGAATGATATTAGTTTTCAGCCCCTATTTTAGACAATTCTCAGGAAATTTTAATCGCATGCCATCTCGATTTATAATGGTCATAAAATATTCATTTCTCAGCCAATTTTCAATATCTATATAACAATAGAAAGCTATGAATCTCAGGTATCTGAATATGTATTCAACCTAAAATGTCTAAATTGCCTCAAGTGACTCATTTCGCTATCACCGGTCACATATAGGCATTATCCGTGACGAAAGACGATGAGAAGTGTGACAGCAGACCTGAAGTAGATTTGTGTGTTATGAGCATGTGTTTGTGCATGTGTGTTTGTGCCTGTGTGCGTGCGTGTGTTTATATGTACGCATATGTTATGCTACTAAAACCATATTATGGTTTTTTAACCACATGGTTAGCAATTTAATAACAAGTTGCAGATTCCGCATATTTTTGACGCGAGATGGGGCTGTTAGATCGTTATCACTCGCTACCGCGCGCTCACCCCGCCACCACCTCTCCTGCCCTCGCTCGTTCATGCGTGCGTGTCTATTCCTCGTCTATTCACATTCACTCTTCTCTTTCTTTCTTTCTCTCGCTCTCTCGCTTACTCTTTATAAATTTTCCATCTCTCCGTCTCTCGCTGCGTCCTCGTTTCGCCGATTAGTAGATGTTCAGGATCGTTAGTTAATACGGTTCGTGGTTGAAATCTGATAGATTTGAAGACGCTGACATTTTAACTTTGATTATAATTAAATACTTCTGTATAAATATAAAATATAGATATAAAATTACGAGATACAATGCCAATACAGAGAGAACATAATAGGATAACGTTACTTGACATCACTCGATAAATAGAAAACCCATTCCCAATTTCCCGTATCTCTATTTCTTTGTCACTCTCATTTCTTACGCTTTTGGTCATATTTATCTACTCCATCATTTCTGCCACGAGATTAGTGGAAGTCGAATAACTGTCAACTTTATCGACTAAGAGTTTTGCGTTTAGACACACACGCAGTGACGCAGACACGGAAGCACACATGCCTTCATACACACGTACGCGCACGCACGCACGCACGCACGTTCGTACACGTATATTCGCCTTCTCTTCACTTCCAGATAGAGAGAGACTACACTGCCGTTAGCTGGTCACACGACACCCGACGTGACACGACATGACTTTCTGAGTCCCAATTCTACCCGATCCTAATTTAACCAAATTATATAGGCTGGAAAATATCCGATTCTTCCTGTTTCAGATGCGGAAGTGCCGCTTCGCCGGTGAAGGCAAGCCGCTACCGTCTCGGATAGCTCGGAGATACGCGACCAGCGATGGCGGGCCGCTGGACTCCCGCCGCGTGCTGACCAGTGATACGGCCATGCCGGACATCCCCGCCTACAGTAACTACGCCGAGGCGATGCTCGCTATGTGTGAACACCATGGCGACAGTGACGCGTTCGTGGATGCAGACACGGGCCGCGCGCTCACGTTCCGCGACGTACGTGACCTGACCTTGAACCTCGCCGCGCGGCTGCGGGCCGACGGCTTCCGGCCTGGCGACGTACTCGCTGTCGTCGCTCCGAACGAGATCGAGTTCGTCGCACCGTTGCTCGCAGCGCCATCTCTCGGCGGCGCGCTCACAGCCGTGAATCCTTCACTGACGCCTGGTGATTATAAGTATCAGATAGAGACGTCGGGAGCGACGTACGCGATGAGTCATCCGGCGAGTCACTCCCGCCTGATGGAGGCCCTCCACGGAAACACCGCCATCCGCAAAATGTACTCCTTCGGCGACGTTGACGGCTGCATGCCGCTGTCGGCTCTCTCGTCGCCCGACGACGATTTCAAGATGGCGTTCGTCGACGTCGCCGATGCGGTGGCAGCACTGCCGTTCTCCAGCGGGACGACGGGCCGACCGAAGGCTGTCATGCTCACGCACCGCAACCTGTTGTCGAACGTCTACCAGTGCACGCACCCGGACTACCTACACCTCACCCGCGACCATCACTGCCTCAGCATCCTGCCAAACTTCCACGCGTATGGCTTCATCGTCATCCTCCGCACACTCTTCACCGGAGCCACGACCGTCACCTCGGCAAAGTTTGACCCGACGAAATACCTGGAGACGATTAAGCGCCGCAAGATCAACTACCTTTACACGGTGCCGCCAATCATCAACCTACTCGCCAAGCATCCGGCGGTGAGCAACTACGATCTTTCGAGTGTGGAAACGATTCTATCGGGTGCGGCTGCTCTAGGAGTGGAGTTATCCAAGCAGCTGATGGAGCGAGTACCGAGCGTCAAGTGCCTGCAGCAGGGCTGGGGAATGACGGAGCTGAGTCCGGTGGGGCTGGCCACGTCCCCCGTCCGTTACAAGATGGGCACGGTAGGTAAGGTGGTGCCAGGCACGGAGATTGTCGTCGTGAGCCCGGAGACAGGGCAAGCTCTCCCTGCGCACGAGCCGGGAGAGCTGTGGCTACGCGGTCCTCAGGTGATGAAGGGTTACCTTAACAACGACGTCGCCACACGTGAGACCATCAACGCCGACGGCTGGCTGCGGTCTGGAGACGTCGGCTACTATGACGATGACAACGTGTTCGTCATTTCAGACCGTATGAAAGAACTGATAAAAGTTAAAGGCTACCAGGTGGCGCCAGCTGAGCTGGAGTCAGTCATCTCCGGACATCCGGGCGTGGCGGATGTGGCCGTGATCGGAATTCCGGATGAACGCTCCGGGGAACTTCCAAAGGCGTTTGTCGTAAAGAAAGTGGATTCACTCACTGCTGACGATATTATTAACTTCACTAACGAGAAAGTTGCGCACTTCAAGCAACTGAAAGGAGGGGTTGAGTTTCTGACGGAAATCCCGAAGTCGGAGAGTGGCAAGATACTGCGCAGGCTTCTGCGATAGTGGGAAAATATATCTTTAGCTTTCTTACGCAGGAGAACAGGTCTATTAGCACCCTGTCGCGACATCTGTAACTGTTCAGTGGTCTTTCGACATATCTGTTGCACTTGTAACCACACACGAATACATTTACCAATGCGCGTGCACTACTTTTATACAGAGAAATTCGTATAAATGCCATTAATTGGTTATTGATTTCATTTCAATTGCAATGCATTAATGTTATTTTGATACGATGCTTAGTCACTGTTTCACGTTATGCCCCGTTTTTTCGCGGGTCTGTGCACTATTTTTCACTAGGCTAAACTTCTCTCGGAAACACTGACCAGTGTTGATTGTATTATTTACCTGACGTATTGTGTTATTTATCAGCAATAGTATGTTTATCATAGTTATGTAAGGACTGGTGATACTTAGGGGAGAAGTTCAATCTGGACACTACAGGAATCCGATGATAAATCTGTAATAAAAAAAAATTATTAATAGCAAATTTCCACAGACTTGTTTTAGCGTTGCCTAGCAGAGTCATATATTTGTATATATATAGACGAATACTTAATGGCTTGACGTCACCACGCAATCAATTATCCCGGCAGGGTTTGCTTTTTAACAGACGGGATGAGATGTTTTTCAAAATTTTGTGAACCGCGCAACTGGATCAGAACGGGAGATGCGGGTAACGTACGTACCTATAACGTACAAGCCTAACGTGCATCTACTCGTATAAGCGATACGTAACACGTCTATAATAGCAGAGATGTTCCCTAGCACTCTACGACGACTATCGTGGCTGACGTCATCTCTGTTATTATCTAACGATTGATGTTCTGAAGCTTAACGAATCGGACTCCCTTCTCGCACTTTCACCTAGTCGCGTCTCGTCGGTTTATTTCTACATCTTTACTCGTCGTCGATATTGGAATTTTTCTCACGCGCTGTTCGCATCTCAACCGTCTTTACGTATTGATGACATCAATATATTCTACATATGTGGCGGACAAACAGTTCACCGTCTTGTCTGAGCCAGCGATACAGTACACCGTGCAGGTTCGACTGAATCAAAGGGGCGCCTTGTTCCTCTAGCGAACACTGGAATTCTTGTCGTGTTTGCTGTCAGGGCGAAGTCATACGGAGGTATAAGGGAGGAGCTCGCGCGGGAGAGAGAGAGGGAGAGAGAGAGAGAGAAAGAGGTGGGAAGGAGAGCGATCGACGTACTGATTGTACTGTAGGTGACTTTGCGATCGTAGCCGAATATGCATGCACAGCCGCTTATGGTTTTATTATTATTAGTTTTACGACGCGGGAAAAGAAATTCGCTGCGCATCTATGCAGACGCGCGGGCATTAAATATTAATTTGCGAGGCGGGTTTTTTGCACACTCTCGCGGACCGGAGGCGCTGCGATGAAAGCGCTAGCGTTCACAGATCCCGTCGAATTACACACAGTCGCGATGTTTTATTAAAACCAGTGTAAAAAATTACACGCATAGCCAACGATTGCGGTCCGGGTCGAACTCCGGAATGTTCGTCACATCGTCACTATTTTTGCGATTACCGTATTAAGACGATTACAGATTTATAAGAAACACGTCTAACGCTCGCATGTGGTCGTCATAACAATAAAGGGAGCGGTGAATAGAGAGAGAGAGAACACAACCTGCGTGCCTTGAACACGTAGCTCTCAATAGCAGCTGAATGACGCATTGAGAACAGGGAGGGACTGGTTTCAAGATCTTCGTCTTTATTGTTATAGAGAGGGAGTCGCGGTGCTGCGGTCTAACACTTGGTTACCCGCGAAGATTACGATGGCCTAGATAAGCAACGATCGCTGCGACACCTAGTGGCTGCTGTGACGCGAGCCCTACGAACGCGATCCCGTCGCTAGCATCACAACGGATTGCTGACGCTCGGGAGCGATAGTACATAGTACATAGCTGCAGTAAGCCTCATAGTACATAGTACATAGCTGCAGTAAGCCTCGTCGTTTCATGCGCAATATCTCCTGTAGCGGGACGCGTGTATACTGGCGGCGCGCACGCACGCACGCACGCGAGGGAGCCGTGCCCAGCTCTGACGTGGCACGTCATGTCATCGGCGGTGTTGTTCTTAGATAAAGATTCGTCGCTGCGTGGCTGAGCGACGGACATTATCAACATCCGGGCATCTCGTCGGGGACAGACGTCATCTGTCACCCGTCGTCGCTACACGCAGACGTTATCAACATCCGGGCATCTCGTCGGGGACAGACGTCATCCGTCATCCGTCGCCGCTACACGCAGACGTTATCAACATCCGGGCATCTCGTCGTTCGCGCCGTTATCATCGTCGTCATCTTTACTGTGTGATTCGTGTGTGCGTGCGTGCATAATCTGCGTGTGCGTGCGTGTGCGGGCGTGCATAATCTGCGTGTGCGTGCGTGCACAGCCTGCGTGTGCGTGCGTGTGCGGGCGTGCATAATCTGCGTGTGCGTGCGTGCACAGCCTGCGTGTGCGTGCGTGCATAGCCTGTGGCGGGCGTGCATAATCTGCGTGTGCGTGCGTGCATACAGCTTGCGTGTGCGTGCGTGCATAGTCTGTGCGTGCGTGCGAGCGTGCATAGTCTATGCGTGCGTGCGTGCGTGCGTGCGTGCGTGCGTGCGTGCAGGCTTGAGGGTGGCAGTGAGGTAAGACGCAGGCTTGCAGGGGACGACGGACGCACTCTCTCTCTCTCCGGAGAGCTGGTGCGGAAGCGGACACAGCGATTAAAGCCGCTATCAAGACGCTCAGCGACATTAGCGCTTGCCGCGCGGGGTCTGCTAGCGGCCATCGTCAGCGTCATCGTCGTATTGCAGCTGACGCTCAGCTCGCTGGCGGCGCTAATCTGAGACGATGGCGATGGTAGCGCCGCCGCCGCTCTGACGGATCGTGTCTGCGGCTTTCCCGCCTTGCCGAGTCCGTCAGACGGATTACGTGTGCTTTTAGCATGCAATATTTAGCAACCGGTGCAGCTGCGTTCGTGCGGCTGCTGTGTTAATACGAGCTGGGCTCCGTCGTTGTTGTACGCGTGGCAGCAGAAGCAGGACCACAACCACCGGCAGCAGCAGTAGCAGCAGCAGCAGTAGCAACACCAGCCACAGCAGCAGCAGCAGTAGAAGCAGCAGCAGTAGCAGCAGCAGCAGTAGCAGCATCAGCAGCAGCAGCAACAGAAACAGCAGATGCAGTAGCAGCATCAATAGCAGCATCAGCAGTAGCAGCAGCAAATGAAACATCAACAGCAACATCACCACCAGCAGCCGCATCAGCAGTAACAGCAGCAACAGATACAGCAGCAGCACCACCACCAGCAGCAACAACAACAGCAGCAGCATCACCACCACCGCCGCCGCCGTCACCACCAGCAGCAGCAGCAGCAGCGCGTCACAGTTAGCGACAAGCAGGACGCGAGGTCTCGTTGCGCATTACTCTTTAACTGAATTATCGCCGACTATTGACAATTTCATTTGGAGACCGGCCTCATCTCACCATGTGCGCGAGCGAGCGTGTGTGCACGACGCTACAGGGATATATGTAAGAGCAAGCGCGCGAGTGCGAGCGTGAACGCGTCTGTGCGTGCGTGCGTGCGTGCGTGCGTGCATATACGTGTTACGGCTGCAACAAAACAGTGAGGTGTCGTGTGCTGCTGTACATTCATTAGTGAACCTCCTCTACCGTCAGCAAAACAAGAACGGACTCATCCGTCAGCGTCAGCGACGCAAGAACTGATTCATCCGTCAGCGTCAGCGACGCAAGAACTGATTCATCCGTCAGCGTCAGCGACGCAAGAACTGATTCATCCGTCAGCGTCAGCGACGCAAGAACTGATTCATCCGTCAGCGTCAGCGACGCAAGAACTGATTCATCCGTCAGCGTCAGGGACGCAAGAACTGATTCATCCGTCAGCGTCAGCGACGCAAGAACTGATTCATCCGTCAGCGTCAGCGACGCAAGAACTGATTCATCCGTCAGCGTCAGCGACGCAAGAACTGATTCATCCGTCAGCGTCAGCGACGCAAGAACGGATTCACCCGTCAGCGTCAGCGTCAGAAGCTGATTAAAAGCGACGTGCGGCAGGATTGCGTCAAGGCGGCGTCGTGACGGCCCGTGAACGACAGCACAACGGCTGACGCTGACGTGCAGGAATCGCTGCCTGTAACGAGGCCTTTGTTGACAGAGTAAGTCAGAGCTCGCGAGCGCGCGATACACATGATAGTCGTCGATATTGTTAACGAAGTTGTCCCGAGATTAGGCCAGCAGCAGCGGAATACACGCCGCAATTAACACAAAGGCACTACGGAACTGCCGCCATGTCAGATGGCTGGCACTGTCGACGTTATTCACCGTTATGTTTCACTTACGAATCATATAAATAGGAAGACCTAGTTTTCACAATTGCAAAGCGCGTGCGTTTGATTTCTATAGCGTGATGAGCTTCTGATAATTTACATAATGGTTCTTTCTTTCGCTTGTCGTGGCCGCCGGCGCTGCGTGGCGCTAGCTGATATCGGTTTGTGACCGCGAGCATGCATGCGTATACGTTTCTCTCTCTCTCTATCCTTTTTAGTCCTGTTCTACTTCTCTGTATTCCCACACGTTCTCTATCTCTCCCTACTCTCTCTCTGTCGCTCTCTCTTTCTATATATATATATTATAGTATTATTTATATATATATATATATATATATATATATATATACAGTGCCGGATTAACCATTAAGCAGACTAAGACGTGTTAGGGCACCAGGGCCAAAGGGGGGCACCACAAAGTGGGAAAAAAGGTGAAAATAAAAAAATAAAAAAAATAAGATTTGTACTTCCAGGTGTACACAAGGGCCCCCAACAATACAATACAATTACAAGGGGCCCTAATGCCACCCAACAAGGTGCTAATTCCCAATTATCAGAAAGTGAAAGTACTCAAAGACTTGTCAGACACTTTTGATGCTTATCCAGATGACCATGAACAACACTTTGTCTACAGAGCTTCAGCAGTTCCGTTCACATGTTCTTCATAAGTTTAAAACAACCAAGAAAACATTTTTCACTCCCATGAAACTTTACAACACAATTACAGAAGACAAACTAGAGAGTGCCTTCCAAATATTGAAATTGCCTTAAAGAAATTTTTAACATTAATGGTCACCAACTGACAATTAGTCAGGAGGCTTATGCCACGTAATAGAGCCCAAATCTGCAAATTATGAAAGACATTTTTAAGGGTCAAATCTGGGTTCATATGTTCCTCAACTAAGAAGAATTTTTTTGAGGAGCCCAAAAATTTGACCCCGGAACCCCACCCCCCCTCCCTATGGCCGGTTAAGGGACCCGAAACTGTTATTTGCCATATCTTTGCCCTTCTTTGGTCGATTTGAGCAAAGTTAGAGTCGATTTTGGGGTTTTAAACATCAAGGAATCGATTGGGCGTGGGTTTGGAGACCTAAATTTGTCAAAGGTCACGTGATATCGTTTCTTCGGGTTCACTCGCGGCGCCCGAAAATGGGTTTTCACATATCTCGACTATTTTCTCCAAAAGTTTAAATTTTTTGGTTTTTGAGGTCAAGGAATTTTTTATTAATACACATGATTACTTTCAGACTCCTGGAAATCGGTTTCACCTGGTAGTAGTAACGTAGTCAAAATCTGACAGACTGACAGTTCCGCAATCGTCCTCGGTCACTTGTTACATACACAGCCCACACTGGGACTGCATATCATACCCGTACATGCTTCAATTAGAGATTTGTGCACTTCTTGGTGCAAGTGCAGAAAGAAAGGCACATGACATTGTTCTTAGCTCATTTGCATGACTGGCACTTGAGGGTTCGGCAGCGACAAATGCCAGTCACGATTTCGAGTTGTTTGTCTTGCTGCGTCCTGGGTCCATTGAATGTGGAGTTGGTTCTGATAGAGTTTCCATCCACACATCTCAAGAGGAGGGCTGGGGATCTGAGTGAGGGTGTTGCCCCATAAATGCATAAGGCAATGCATTCTCTAAGATAGCCCTGGACCAAGCACAAGAACCAACAACAAAGAAAATCAAATCAACGGCTGGGTACATTGATCTCGTAAATCGCGAGGACAAAGAATATCTTCGTAAGCTTAAACTCTGCCTGCCAGAAATTCACCAATATTTGTCTGCAATAGAGGGGCTTACATTAGCTCAAGGTCACAAGGAGATCACCCCTTCCTTTATCCGCAAGTTCATATCAGACTGTCGAAAGGTTCACAGTAAAATTCTTATCAATCCATTTACCTCAGAATTGTTTGGAAGACTGAATTCCTCCTATATCTTCCCAGAGGTCATTGTCGATGATGCAGGAAGGGTGTTCACAATTGGAATGCAACAGTATGACGAGTTTCGTCGCACTAGATTCGTCTATAGAAGTGAAGATGTTATCAAATCAAAGGTAACAAGAAACATTGCTGAAGTTCACAAGCCAGTGCCGATGATGTCGGATTTGAGAACCCCTCGCATCAAGGTCACCCAGCAACGTTCAGCAATGGTTCAGAGATGCTTGCAAGAACCGTGAATCGGAGACACAAGAAACTTTTCGAGGGGAGATAACCAGATTACCTGAGTGTTTCATCAAGAAGGATGGACCCTTATCACAGTTCAAAGTCACAGATTTTGGGCTGACATACCGAAAACGCGGTTACACCAAGTCCAGCAAATGTCAAAGGTCTCGTTGTTGACCTTTTTCAGGGATCATCTGAGCGCAGGCTGCAGTCCTTCAAAAGGGGTCAACCTTCAATATATTTGTCTCCAGGGTCCTGCAGAGCATTGAGAACACTGCCACACGCCTGGCGCGTCTCGAATCGATATTGTAGCAGGACCAGTATAACCCGTTAAGGCATCAAGAGCCCCACTTGGCTCGCAAACGGAAGTCAAAGGTTCAGGACAGCAAGTTAACTTTACTGGTGATAGCACTGTCCCGAAGGATATGTCTAAATCCTTTTCTCACAGATGATCAGACAAGACCAGACCTTAATGCACTAATTGCAGAAAGCTGTGGTAACCCATCCTCCTGGTCCTGGAAGAAAGATTTCTGTGTCACTAATGGTCTTGGAAATGTTCTTAACAAATGCTGGCGTTAAAGACTATATACATGCCAAAGATGGAAACCCTATAAGAGGCGGACAACAGGATGGTGTGCCATATAATTGACATGTTGCATGTGGTTTATCCGCGATTGACTGTACGGACAGTTGATTCAGACGTCATTGTCATTCTTCTCGCCTTTATGCCCCAGTTCCTCAGATCGGACCCTGACTTTGAGCTTCATGTTGCATTTAACTCTGGAAAGACAGGAAGAACATTCATGTCAATGTTTGTTTATGAGTACTTAGGGAGGACGTCTGCTTAGCCTTGCCATTTCTTCCATTGCTTCCACTGGCGCCTATTCTAACTGCTCTTTCTACAAGCTGACCAAGAAGATGTGGTTTTCTCAATGGAAATAAGCTGCTCGATGAGGGATGAACTGACAGAGGCAGCTTAAACAACTAGGCTGGTACCCAGCAGAACAAGTGCTCTCAGCACAGAAAAGATACTTGTGGATTTTGTGTGCCTATGTATACTCAAAGAGGGCTGTGTACAAGATCTCAATGAACTGCGGTTCTCAATGTTCCAGGCTCATGTTCTGATGAGTAAGGGACCTCCACCTTTATTGGATTCTTTCAGACGGGCGGTACGTCGCAGCGCCTATTAAGGCAGGATGGGATGTGGGTAAAACCCTCACTCAGATCCCAGCCCTCCTCTTGAGATGTGTGTGGATGGACACTCTATCAGAACCAACTTCACATTCAATGGACCACGGACGCAGCAAGACCAAACCTCGAGATCGTGACTCAAGTGCCAGTCATGCAAATGCGTAAATACAATGTCATGTGCCTTTCTTTCTGCACTTGCACAGGAAGTGCACAAAATCTCTAATTGAAGATCTGTACAGGATGATATGCAGTCAGTGTGGTCTGTGTATGTAACAATGACGGCAGGACGATTGCGGACTGTCAGTCTGTCAGATTTTGACTACGTGTACTACTACCAAGTGTGAAACCGAATTCCAGGAGTCTGAAAGTGTATCATGTGTATCTAATAAATTCTTTGACCTCAAAACCCCAAAATTGACTCTAACTTTTTGAGAAAATAGCCCGAGATATGTGAAAACCCATTTTTCGGCCCGCGAGGGCTGAACCCGACAGGAACGATATCTCGCGACCTATGACGAATTTTGCGTTCCAACTTACTCCAATCGATCCTTGATGTTTAAAAAACCCCTAAATCGACTCTAAACTTTGTTCAAATCGACAAAGAAGGCCAAAGATATGGCAAATAACAGTTTCGGTCCCTTACCGGGCCCATAGGGGGGGGGGGTGTTTCCCCGGGGTTCAAATTTTTGGGCCTCCTCAAAAAAACTCTTAGTTGAGGAACATATGAACCCAGATTTGAATACCCAAAAATGTCTTTCATAATTTGCAGATAAATGTGCATAAGCTCCTGACTAAATAGAGAGGTCTTTCTCACACTGAAACGTTGTAAAAAAACAAATAGATTGACTGGTAGTCAGAATGAAGGTGTACATGCCATGTATGCTCAAAATTGCCTCAAATACCATCTCCTGCGATCTACATTTTAAAAAATTTCTGGGGAGGACCCCTATACCCCCCGCCTGTTTATCACCACCCTCTGAAATCCTACATACATTTTTGTATCGTGGACTGAACTGGAACCTGTATTGTATATCTGGTCAGACAGGTCAACAACTAAAATGGACTGGGTCAGTGTGGAAAGGAGGGGGCACCAAAATTGTCAGTGCTTAGGGCACCAGTGAGCCTTAATCCGCCCCTGTTATATATATATATATATATATATATATATATATATATATATATATACTATATATATATATATATATAATAATCAGGAGTTAATAAAGACAAATTCAAGACAAAATAAAGACAATTTGTCTTTATCAAACGCCTGATATAATATATTTAATATCTTGCTCTCTTTCTTTCTCGTGCACGCGTGCGTTGGGGGCATGTGTCTACATGTGGATATGAGAAAGGTTAGGGGCTATGCTCTAACCTTGTTACTCGACGCATGAACGTGGGCCTTCACGCGAACTCCAGCGACAGTCCAGCAGTTGCACTGATCCATCAGGAGTTAACGGAGTGTG